ATTACAATAAATCGCTACAGTACCTGTAGAACATGGTGGGTGCCACCTGTTTGTTAGGAACACCTCTCCTTGATTTTGACGCCCAGTTGTCTGATCTCTCTGCAATATCTTCTGAACCAGAGGCTGAAAGCAATAAATCAACTTTAATTGCACTATTATTATATGTTAAACAAAACTCAGTTTACTTGAGTTGCATATTTTCTAAAGAGTTTTTGGAGATTTATGATATATCGTTAAAACATTAATTTTGCTTAAGAATTTTCTCTCAAAATTAGTTTTGGCTGTTTTAAGGATCTTCCAAAGCCATAATTATGCACACTTGTCTCTGTATGCATATGTGCATTCACATGAGAACAAGGCATATAACAAACAATATGGATGTTTTAAAACTCAAAGTATCATACAGAAGCAGGATAAATCCTAGATTGCCTCCTTTCTACTGGAAAGCCAAAACTTGCTGCACCGAAACCAAGATTTGGCACAGGTAACACAAATGCCAATTTAAACAAATTGCTAGGTTATATCTCAACTGGTCATGCAGGTTGGAAGATTTTGGGATTTGTAACCAATTTAGCAAACCAAAAACAGTCACAGGAAACAACATGAACTTCTGCACAGATATGATTTCCTAACTAAGTGGATAGATCAAATCTTTACTGGTCATGCTGCCTGGTGAATTTTGGAAGCTGGAATCCAGATAAATGCCCTGCATTGATTTTGGGAGTTGTCCTTTTACCTCAAAAAATCTCCAAAACAGTAGGACAAAGGAATATGAATTTGATATAGACACTAGTGACAGCTTACAGAGATGTATTGCTCATAGCTAGACTTCTCCAGCAGGCCCGGGGATTGTTGCAATTCTTCTCTTACCAAAAGAAAATGGTCAGTTTCATGGATAGCACTGATTTACTTAATCTAGAGCAATAATTTACTTAAATAATTTATCAGATTGCATCTTGACTGCTCATGATACATGTGGAATTCTGGAATTTATAGTTCAAAGAAATTATCTGGGGGATTCTGGAAAACTATAGTCCTCTTATCCCAAAATATCTCTCAAACCAAAGTATTATGTTTTGGAATAGTTCATTCTCTTTATTCTATAGCTATAACCGTTAACTATACAGAACATATTTTTTCATTCAGTGAAATGAATCTGTGGTGAGGGTGCAATTGGAAGCCAATAGTAAATGACAACTACAGCAGACCCATTGAAGTGGCAGAGAATTGGTGAGTCCTAGCATTGGTGTTCTAACCCTGCAATGGGCTGAATGAGTACCAAGGAGGAGATATCAACAGAGAGTATTGTTAAATAAATAATTGGATGGGGGAAGGTGGAGGGTGGAAGTGATGGATTTTCACCTGGCTAAAGCCAGGAACATTTGCTAGTAATATAATAAACTGAAGTTCTTAAATACCTCTAATCATGAAACTAAGTTATTGTGGTCAAGGCTCATGGTAACAGACCATGACTGAGGAGGTAGAGGAACTAAGGGTTTTTGATGGCACTCAGATCCCACTCCTTGTCACTTCTCATTTGCAAAAGGGAGCTGTACCACTGTACCACAGTCATGTCAGTCACTTCACCTCATTTCTGAGCCTACTTATAATGCAAACCAGTCTACTCATCTGTCTTTATGTTTCAGAAATTGAACAGTCAATTATAATAATGCAACCTTCACTTCCAGAACTAACTTGTATGAATTTTTGCAGGCGTCATCCCCCTCAGAATGACAACACCTGTAAAGTTAATCCCACTAACAAACTCACAGCATCATTTTTGGAAGAGGTAGTCATGTTAGTCTGTGCAAGCATATCAGGCAAAAACCAAAAAAAAAAAAAAAAAACCCACCCAAAAGAAAACACAATATATTTTTTTAAAAGACAAAAATATATGGCACCTGAAGAACTATTATACAGTATTTTAATATGAGCTTTTGTGGACACATCCACTTCATCAGACAGAATGAAATGTTGGATGAAATACCAGTTTTGCAAATTAAAAGACGCCTGCTTCTTGGGAGGAGAACGATGACAAACCTTGACAGCATCTTAAAAAGCAGAGACATCACCTTGCCGACAAAGATCTGCATAGTCAAAGTTATGGTTTTTCCAGTAGTGATCTATGGAAGTGAGAGCTGGACCATAAAAAAGGCTGGCCACCAGAGAATTGATGCTTTTGAATTGTGGTGCTGGAGGAGACTCTTGAGAGTCCCCTGGACTGCAAAGAGAACAAACCTATCTATTCTGAAGGAAATCAACCCTGAGTGCTCACTGGAAGGACAGATTCTGAAGCTGAGGCTCCTATACTTTGGCCATCTCATGAGAAGAGAAGACTCCTTGGAAAAGACCCTGATGCTGGGAAAGTTTGAGGGCAAAAGGAGAAGAGGACGACAGATGGTTGGACAGTGTCATTGAAGCTACCAACATGAATTTGACCAAACTCCGGGAGGCAGTGGAAGACAGGAGGGCCTGGCGTGCTCTGTTCCGTGGGGTCACGAAGAGTCAGACACGACTTTACGACTAAAGAACAACATAAAATACTTGGGTATACAGCAGAACAGTGATACAGCATTTTGTGTATATTAAACTAATTCACATCCTAACTTCAGCAACGAAACCACATTACACACAATAAATCGCTACAGTATCTGTAGAACATGGTGGGTGCCACCTGTTTGTTAGGAACACCTCTCCTTGATTTTGACGCCCAGTTGTCTGATCTCTCTGCAATATCTTCTGAACCAGAGGCTGAAAGCAATAAATCAACTTTAATTGCACTATTATTATATGTTAAACAAAACTCAGTTTACTTGAGTTGCATATTTTCTGAAGAGTTTTTTGAGATTTATGATATATCGTTGATGGCACTCAGAATCCCACTCCTTGTCACTTCTGCTTTGCAAAAGGGAGCTGTACCACTGTACCACAGTCATGTCAGTCACTTCACCTCATTTCTGAGCCTACTTATAATGCAAACCAGTCCACTCACCTGAAGAAGGTGACTTTTGTGGGGGTGGTGATGAGAAGCAGCAGGACTGATACAATGGCAGCAGCACCACTAGTAGAAAAGGTTGAGGGATAATATTTTGCTAGATTCTGCCATTCTCTTGTAAACAAGGGAGAAAATAGTATTATGTCTCTACACAGTCCTGTCAGCTTTATCTCCTACGTAGAGACAGTAAGGTAAAAACTATTGTGCTGGGGTAAAGTGAGGCCCTTACCCCTAGAAAGCAGAATTCTGTCTCATGGTAAAGGACCTTCTAGGCATGGAGTCACGACATGTCATACCACACTGCACCACACACATTGTTGTCCAGTATGTCCGCAAATTTATTTCAAGACACAGAAATATTACAACATTAATAAAAAACATTGTCTTTATGTTTCAGAAATTGAACAGTCAATTATAATAATGCAACCTTCTCTTCCAGAACCAACTTGTATGAATTTTAGCAAGTGTCATCCCCCTCAGAATGACAACTACACCTGTAAAGTTAATCCCACTAACAAACTCACAGGATCATTTTTGGAAGACGTAGCCATGTTAGTCCGTGCAAGCATATCAGGCAAAATCCACACCAAAAAAACAACCAAAAGAAAACACAATATATTTTCAAAAAAGACGAAAATATGTGGCATCTGAAGAACTATTATATTTTAATATGAGCTTTTGTGGACACATCCGCTTAATCAGAGGACACATCCACTTCATCAGACATACAGAATGCAATGTTGGATGAAATACCAGTTTTGCAAATAGTACAGTATTCATTGGCTATAGGAGTCTTAAGTTCATCTTCTTGTTGTTTAGTTGTGTCTGACTTCGTGACTCCATGGACCAGAGCATGCCAGGCCCTCCTGTCTTCCACTGCCTCCCGGAGTTGGGTCAAATTCATGTTGGTAGCTTTGATGACACTGTCCAACCATATCATCCTCTGTCATCCCCTTCTCCTCTTGCCCTCACACTTTCCCAACATCAGGGTCTTTTCCAGGGTGTCTTCTCTTCTCATGAGATGGCCAAAGTATAGGAGCCTCAGCTTCAGAATCTGTCCTTCCAGTGAGCACTCAGGGTTGATTTCCTTCACAGAATGGAAAGGTTTGTTCTCCTTGCAGTCCAGGGGCTCTCAAGAGTCTCGTCCAGCACCACAATTCAGAAGCATCAATTCTTCAGTGGTGAGCCTTCTTTATGGTCCAGCTCTCACTTCCATACATTACTATTGGAAAAACCATAGCTTTGACCATGCAGATCTTTGTTGAAAAGGTGATGACTCTGCTTTTTAAAATGCTGTCTAGGTTTGTCATTGCTTTCCTCCCAAAAAGCAGGTGTCTTTTAATCTACATCCACTAAATTAGGGTTCTGTTATAAACATTCCTCCGAGGAAATTTTTTGTTTCTTTCTTTTGATTTTGCCTGATAAACATCACTGTTGTTCTTGCAGAGGATATTGGTGACAAAGCATAGTCTTCTACCCCAAGCCAAGCCCCGAAGCGTTGGCATTTCATTTGGCCCCGAGTTCAACTCGTAGGGTTTTGTTGCCTGGACTACTACATTAGGCGACCATCCTTAAAGGGGCAAAAATCCATTCAATCCCGTTAAAAAACCCTTCAAATTTATTTTTATTTTTTTAAGGCAAATACAGGACATGACTTGCACATCCTCCGGAAAACTAGCCATTTTCGCTTCTCCATCATTCCCTCCAGCGAAACTGGCGGGAAACTAAGCCAACCGCAGTCACAACGCGCGCCCCCTTCCGCCCCTCTCTTAAACCACGCAGCCCAAGCGTTAGAATGGCCCTCCTTGCCTCCTTCCCCCCCCCACACCGGTATCAAGCCTCCCAAAAAAAATAAAAAAAAAACCCGGACCAATCGCCACGCAAAGACGTCATTTCTGCCCGTTCCTATTTTTCTCCCACCAAAGAAATGCAGCCAATCCGATAGCGCTTTCGCCCTGGCTCACCAATGGCAGAACAGAGCCGGCTGTTTCCCCGCCTCCGCCGTCCTTCTTTCGCTTCCTTGGGCCCTGGAGCTATTTTACCTCTCTTTTTTTTGGCCTGACTGATTGACGTGGGCAGTCCGTGCGGTTAGTCCAGCCGAGGCTGAGGGAAGGAGCGGGCGCTCCACTTCTTCCCCCGGGCTTTCTCTCGGCTCCCATTGACAGAGATGACGGGGGTCGTTCTGCTGGTGGTGGCCACGGGGCTGGCCCTCCTGGTGGCCTTCCTGCTGCTCCTCTGCCTGGTGGCGCCGCTGACCGGCCCCAAACCGCTGTCGTTGTCCGGCGCTCACGTCGTGGTGAGAGTCTACCGTTGGGCTTGTTGGTTGGTTGGTTGGTTGGTTGATGGGTGTAAACTGGCTGGGAAATGTCAGGCTTCTCCTTCCACCACCACCACCACCCTCAGAGCCCCTGTTTTCTATCCATTTATTTTCTCTGTCTCTAACTGCGCTGGCAAAGGTAGCGTTGCTGAGAGTGTAAATTCCCTTCAGAAATGGCTTCTGGCTTGTTTTGCTTGACGAGGAATTATAAAGGGCGTGAGTGAGGTGGACTATGTTTAGCCTAAAGCAACAGAAGTGCTCTGGGGCAGCATCTTCCACTTTGAAGGGATGATAGGGTTTCTGCGAGGGAGAAGACAGCCGAGATGCCATCAGTTAAGTTGTTCGGATTTAAACATCTGCCTTCCTTTTGCCTCATTCATTCATTCTCATACGTAACACGTAGTGGCAGTGTGCTTATTTGTCACCTATAATTTTAAAAGCACATGGTGTGCGCTCAAGAATCTATGAGGGTTTTATGTTTTAATTGCCATTGCTTGGAGCCTTACATACAGTGCCTTGTTTGTTTATCTCTTGGTCTTGAGAGTGGGTGGAGGTCATGCTCCTTAGCCTGTGCATTCCTTCAGCATGTTTAGAATAATATGTATATTTAATTGTAGCTCTCTAAATGCATTGTCTCACTGTTGAGAGACTAGGACTGTAGTAAGCACATTGGTTCTTTCCTGGATGTTTTTAGACTATAACCCCCATCCTCTCTAACAGTACCCATGCTGTTGGGGATTGATGAGTACTGTTGTAGGCCAACGCTCAATGTATGGACAGTGTAAGGGAAATAGACTCAACTGATAACTGCTGAGAGTAATACCACGTTTCCCCCAAAATAAGACAGGTCTTATATTAAATTTTGCTCCAAAAAAACCAGTAGGGCTTATTTTCAGGGGATGTTTGATTTTTTTTTACATGCACAACAATCTACATTTATTCAAATAAAGTCATGTCATCGTCTGGTTGCTGTACAGTGGTGGAGGGAGGGCTTTCACTTAATTAGGGCTTATTTTTTGTGTAGGGCTTATATTACGAGCATCCTGAAAAATTATACTAGGGCTTATTTTCCGGTTAGGTCTTATTTTCAGGGAAACAGGGTAAGTAGTAACTGAGAATACTGGGATGGACCTTTCTGTTCTCTGACTCCTAATAAAGCACAGCAGAGGAAGAAAACTGAGACAGTCAGTGTCAGTATTATTTTGTTAGACTAGTAACTGAATATGCAAAATACTTGCAGATGAGTTATAAATATAGATTAGGAGTTAAGTAATATAATGTAGATTATTATTTATTTTTAAGGCAATTGAGTAAGAGCAAATAATACTTCAATTTATTAAATAATATTTAGACAAGACATTAAAAAGGGCTTGGAATGCATATAGCATTTATATGGAAATAACACATCTTTGTCTTGAAAGGCATCACAACTCAGTTCACGGCCTCCTCTTCAGTTCTTTAATTATTGTTTTCTTTGTCATATTTAATAAACATTCTTCCACTGAAACAAATTGTGGTGGAATAAAATTGTCCCTGAAATCACTGGATCATCCTACATGGACATAATACTGGCAACACCCAACACAGTTATTAGCACAAAGAGGTGTGATGGAAACAAACTAGAATTTCTCCTCTGTGTGGGCAAGGATTTTTCTCTTTGCAGCCTTAGATAAATCTACACATTTTCTTGCACTTGTGAGTGGTGGGCTTTTGTGGGAGAGAGGAACGTTTGTGACAGCAACTCAAATTCCACAATACCGTTTCTCAGCAAGGTGGCCTTCATATGCATTTGACTGTGCAGGATGGGAATTATAGCTCAACACATCTGGGTTAGGAAAGTCTTTTCTAAGGTTTCTATAGAGGTGCTGAGTCATAGGTTGTCACAAGAGTCTTCTTGTTCTTGTTCTTCCTTATTTTTTTGAAAAAAGTAAAGTTGTTCAAAGATAAAGAATGTTGGTCCTGCAGAAAATTTGTGTGCATAATCAGGGCTCAGGTTACAGGAAGCCAGATTTCAGTTAAATAATTGTTAGAGCAATATGGCAATGGAACCAATTAACTTGAGAGGTGGTGAGTGGTTCAACACTGGAGGCATTCAAGAAAAATTTAGGCAACGACCTGGCAGGTATCCTTTGATTTGTAGTCCTGCGTTGAGAATTATAAAGGTGAGGTTATCATTAAGAGTTGGTCTTACTGAAAAACTGGTGTTCTGAATATTTGAACTTAACTGTATTAATGCACAGTTGAATTAGTAGCATTTAATAGAAGAAATAGGGTTTTATGCATGCCACTGGAAATATGATAGAACCAATTGGTGAGTGTTACAAGAATATCTACCGGTAATCCATAAGAAATGCTGTCATCTTTGTCTGGATTTCTGACTAATTCTTTATATTGTTTTGAATGAAGCAAATATGAATCATCAAAAAACTATTCTGTTTGTCATTGTTCTCTTGCAATTAAAACTTAATGCATCATACTTCTGTGACATTTGCACATACATTCCTATAAGCACATTTCTTTATACTGAAAATATAGATGCTAGAATAGCTATATTTAAAGACAAAGGTCATGGATAATGATGAAGTGATAAGGATACTTAATAATAATCGTGTACTATCAGGACAGTTCTTCATTAGGGTGACCCAGGCTTTTCTAGGTAGAGAGTACTCAAAAATGGTTTACCATTTCCTTCTTCTGAGGGCATCCTAGAACTGTGTAGCTTGGCCAAGGCCACAATGGGGAATCAAACTGCCGACCTCTGGTTCCACAACCACATACCTAATTCAGGGTGCCACTACAGTACCTTGCCTAAAAATCTGACAGTTGTCTCGGTGTACTATTGTATCAGTTCATCTCATGTACTCTTTCTAACATTGTTCCCAACCTCATGGGGCAGCCTCAATTGAACCAAGATTGATTCAGTGCAGGTGACCACACACTGCTCTTTAAATCACCTTAAATAGACTCGAGTAAACTTTGATCTGCCCATGAGTCTGTCCTGATTCCACCTGTATTCTGTGCTTGTCTGTAATTGTCTTGTCTGGAGTTTATGTTCCTCCAGACTTTTGCAGTGCAGTTTTCTTTCTTTTGTTCCTTCCAATCTGTGTGTAATTTATTCGTCTATTTTTTAATTCAGAGTGGAAAAGCGCTACACATAGTGCATTTTTCTGCCATTGAAGCTTCCCTCTCAGCACTTTTGAAAGTCTGTAGACCTTCCTTTGAGCACTCAAGCTTGAGTGCTCACTGGAAGGACAGATCCTGAAGCTGAGGCCCCAATACTTTGGCCATCTCATGAGAAGAGAAGACTGCCTGGAAAAGACACTGATGTTAGGAAAGTGTGAAGACAAGAGGAGAAGGGGACTACAGAGGATGAGATGGTTGGACAGTGTCATCGAAGCGACCAACATGAATTTGACCCAACTCCGGGAGGCAGTGGAAGACAGGAGGGCCTGGCGTGCTCTGGTCCATGGGGTCATGAAGAGTTGGACATGACTGAAAGACAAACAACAACAACAAATGACCTTCCTATACAATAGGTTAGCGAAATTTGCATATGCAACGATAAAGGAAGACAGCAAAATAGAAAAAATAAAATGCCCCCCAAAAAGCAAATGTAAGAAAAAGAAAGAAGGAAAATAGCTGGCGCATAGTGTTTGTATGAAGAAGTTAAAGTCATAAGACTTGACTTGCGAACTTAATCCGTATTGGAACGGTGGCCGTAAGTCAAAACGCTCGTAAATCAAAGCACCATTTCCCATAGGAATGCATTGAAAACCAATTAATCTGTTCTGGCTGAAGAAAAAAATAACCCCAAAAAAGAAAGAAAATAAACAGGGCAAGTCCCACACTGGGACTGCAAAAAAACAAAAACAAAAACCAAACAAATCCAAAAATAAACATTGGAGCAAGTCCTATGCTAGGACTGCAAAAAACCCACCAAAAAACAAAACAAAGCACAGAAACGTAACCCCCTCCAACCCAAAGCTACCCTCCAAAACCCATCCAGAACAACTTTTTTAAAAGGAAAAAGCAGCAGCTTACCTCCACTACCACGACCGCTGCTGTCAGGAGGCCTCCCGGACTCCAACCACTGCTGCAGGGCCTGGCTGCCGCCACCTGGCCAGGGCTCCAGCTGCCTCTGCGGAGACTTCCAGGGCTTCCAAAGCACTGGCACCCATAGAACAGCCGCAGCGGCGATGCCAGCAATGGCAGAGGGGGCCCTTACTAATAAGTAGACACGCTCCTTCTATGGCCCTTACTCATGAGTAGACACACTCCAGGGATGGGTGGGGAGTGGACCAGCTTCCCACTCATGAGTAGACCCACTCCAGGGATGGGTGAGGAGTGGACCAGCTTCCTGCACCCGGTGGCGATCCGGAGATGTCCCGCCTCTCCCTCCTCCTGCTCGGCAGAAGTAAAAAACTCTGCCTTCAACTCCCCACTGAGGCACCGCCATCGTCGTCCATGCCGTGAGAGAGCAGGCCAGGTAGGTGGGGCTCGCCAGCCTTGGGAGGCAGCCCATCTAGGAGAAGGAAAATTCCATCTTCAAATCCCCACTGAGGCACCACCATCGTCCATGCCGTGAGGGAGAAGGCCCAGTAGGTGGGACTCATCAGCCTTGGGAGGCAGTCCATCTAGGAGAAGGAAAACTTGGATTTCAAACCTCAACTGCATTGTGACTATATCCACTGATGGGAAAGGGTTCAGGAGTCAACCTCGAGGCAAAATCCGGAGCCAGAGTCCCAGAGGCAGTTCGTGTCACTCTGTCAATTTCTGCGACGTCACTGGAACCAGTTGTATTGGCTATTGCCTCTCCATTGGACTGTTTCAGTGACATGGAGAAGGGGGATTTGCTGCTTGGGTAACAGCCTATCCTCCATAGTATTTTACCCAGGCTTCATGCCCTGGAGAGGACGCTCCAGCTTTGCCTACAGTGTCGAAACACTAGACGTTCCAAGTCCTCCCTACAGAGCACGTTACAAAAGTCTCTCAAGACTGAAGGATGCCTATGTATGTATATGTGCCATTTGAGTCAAGGACACTACAAGTTAGTCATGACCAAGTCCCTCCATGTTACAAATCTCTTTTTCTGTATGTGTTACATGACACAACTGATGTTAACATTTTGTAACTCTTGAAAGGCTTTGAGCATGTTCTATCTTTGACTGCTATTGTTTTTATGTCTTTTATTTTATCAACAGAAGATAAAATGTGTGTGGAACTACTGAATTCACATGGGAATAGTGAAATCTGGTATTGAAAAGGTGGTTGATTGCACATTGAAGATGTTGGTGGGCATTCCTAAGGCCAGCTAATGTCCACACTTGAGGAGAGACTTTTGGTATGCAGATAGTTCTGTTATTTGGGGCTTGTGTTGTACATTGTGTCCTTTAATATTTTACTGTATTTGTCAAATACTATGCTAGAATTGCTACATCACTTTGTATTCCTACAACTTTTGGACAAATGTTCGAATATTACTGCATCCCCTCCATTAGGATATACTGTAATATAAATACAATTTAAATAATACAGAATATTCTTGAAGGCTTTCACGGCTGGGATCTGTTGGTTGTTGTGGGTTTTTCGGCCATGTTCTGAAGGTTGTGCTTCCTGATGTTTCACCAGTCTCTGTGGCTGGCATCTTCAGAGGCCTGGAGTAGGAACTCTGTCCATGCTCTGTTGAGGAAGATCAACCTTCAGAACACAGCCAAAGAGCCTGAAAAACCCACAACAACCAATAAAGAGTATTATTTATTTCAAATATTTGTATGCCATATCTTATAAAGCAATGATCCCCAACCTTTTTGGGACCGCGGACTGGTTGGGGTGTGTGGGCTCTGTCTGCGGGGGTTCGGGGCTCCCCTGTGTTCCCAGTGTGTGTGCATGAACTTGACATGTTGTGTGAGCGCAACATGCTTATTGCGCGTGCGTGGGTGCAGAGATCAGTCTCCACGACCCAGTTACGGCAAGCCCATGGACTGGCACTGGGCCACGGACCAGGGTTGGGGACCCCTGTTATAGAGTGTTTCAGTGCAACAAACTGTAAGAATTTAAAAGTTGCATCCATTAACAGTCTTCTTAGAGGCAGGATGGCTTGCATAAGTTGTGAGGGGACAGTGATATAAAATGAGCCATTCCTCAGGCCTTAAATGTTGCCATTTTAGGATTGTGTGAGTTCTTTTTAAAGTGTTTCAATTTTTGCTGAGACTGAATAGTAAGGTCTTTGCTTCATATGTTTCACATGTCAGGAAATTGTTTCAGGTGTCTTCCAAGCTTCCATTAATTCTTCCAATGTTACATGTGATCATGTATAAGTTTGGGATGCTGTACTTTTAGGGTCAGATTGAAATATGCATATAAGAATTTTAAAAGTTTACAAAAAAATCTGGTGGCTGGTTTTACACTCATTTTTAATCAAAACAAACAGCGGTGTCCCTTCATTTTGCAGACTACCATGGTTCCCTGAAAATAAGACAGTATATTAATTTTTGCTCCAAAAAAGGCATTGGGGCTTATTTTCAGGGGATGTTTGATTTTTTTTTCATGTACAACAATCTACATTTATTCAAATACAGTCATGTCATCTTCTGGTTCCTGCACAGTGGTGGAGGGCAGGGTTTCACTTAACTAGGGCTTATTTTTGGGATAGGGCTTATATTACGAGCATCCTGAAAACTCATACTAGATCTTATTTTTGGGGAAACAGGGTAGTGACATTAGTAGTGACCCACCCAGCGGCCTCATAAAGATATTAAACAGCATTTAAACAGTTTAAATGCTGTTTAATATCTATATTTAAAAAGTTTAAATGCTATCTCGGTATAGTCTGTCTTACTGTTTACAGTGCTCTTGAGTAATACTTACGTAGCTTTAAAAATAGTTGTTGATAATCAGGTTTCTGCCATTGTAACATATATACTTCTTTAATCATGTTTATCATATCTCCAAAACAAGAATGCTTGCAAACTGGTTGCTAGAATAATTAAAGTTCACTGGGCTTTCAGCTAAAGAGCTTTTAAAATTATGAGAAAGGAATATGCTTTGAAACCTTTCATTATATAAGCCTACACATCTTCCATTAAAGTAATATATTTGCTTTGAGATGAGGCAGCAATTGCAGAATTCATTAACTACTTTACTCTCCTATGTGCGTGGAAAAAAAATCAAGAAAATGACTTGCTTGAAGACTAAATCTAGGATACAAAGAATGATAGCATTGTTTCCATAAGAATAGCTTTAGGCTTCCTTCTTTGAAAGAAGCACCATCATACATATGTACACATTCAAATTATAGCAAATAGCTTCCAAAGTGGAGGGGATTTAAAACCAGTATGTCATGTTTAATAACTCTTCAGACGGTGTCTGTAGTGGGATGGAAAATCTAAGCCATCTGTATGAGCCTAAGCAACTTTCCTCCAGCAATGGTTGCTCATACCAATGGACATAAGTATTCTTTTAACAAAGCGGACATTTCTATGCAGCCTATTTGGTTTTATATCCTAATATGTTATAATAGAGAGAACACAGCCTTTTCTGTCACTTTTATAAGCTTGACAGAAAGTAAAATACTATTGTCCGGCCTACCCCTTTTTGGCCTTGGAAAAAGAGTTTTTAAATCAGTTACTGAACTCATGTCATGCAGTTTTGTAAGTGGCATAAATAGAGGAAAATTGCCATGTTAAGAAATCTCTGGACAGTACCTGTTTACAAAGTTGTGTGACTTGGTGTGCAACAGGTAATACCTATGGAGATTTCTTAACTGTGGCACTTTGTGCAATAGGATTTTAGCCAATGTGTGTGTTATCATTTTGTGCTCAAAGAAGCTCATAGCGCCACTGGTTCAGTTACACAAAAGTAGAGTTATTTGTGTGTTACATTCAAATTTCTCTAAAATGTTAATTTTAAGTACTTCCAATATAAGTGAAACTGTAGATAAATGAACTTAAATGAAATTTACATTTAACTTAAAAAATGAAAAATTCAAATTAAATTGAATTTTTAAAAATAATCTTTAGTTCTTGACACGTTTCTCTTTAAAAATTACGTGTATCAGTCGAATTAGCATGCTTGCTATTTTCAGACTAAGCTCATATCAAAGTAACAATGTGGATGAAGCGTCTTTGTACAGCAGACCTGGGCAAAGTGCAGCCTAAGGGCCATATACAGGCCTGTGAGATGCTCCTGTACAGCCCACGGACAGTTTTGAACATCAAAACCATTTATAGCTTTTTGTCTAAAGTTGATCAGTTGCTTATCTTTCATTCGTTTAGTCATGTCTGACTCTTCGTGACCCCATGGACCAGAGCACGCCAGGCCCTCCTATCTTCCACTGCCTCCCAGAGTTGTGTCAAATTCATGTTGGTTGCTTCGCAAACGCCGTCTCACCATCTCATCCTCTGTCATCCCCTTCTCCTCTTGCCTTCACACTTTCCTGACATCAAGGTCTTTTCCAAGGAGTCTTCTCTTCTCATGAGATGGCCAAAGTATCGGGGCCTCAGCTTCAGGATCTGTCCTTCCAGTGAGCACTCAGGGCTGCTTATCTTTAACATACTGCAAGAAACCTCTTTAGTATTTGTGAAGATTAACAAGTTTAAAATAAAAACCATCATAACCGCACTGTTTCATTTTATTTTTAAGTAAAGTTGGTTCGGTCCCCAAACACAGTTCAGATTTTCAGGTGGTCCCCCCATAGAAATTAATTGCCCACCCCTGTTGTACAGCATGATCCATGTGTGAGTTTCATCAAACCAATGTGTAAAGATAAGTAAAGCTTACATGCACTACCTTTGAAATTAAGATCATGGCTACTGTATTCTGAGAGTTGGAAGCTAATAAAAAGCATGGTTTCTTTCCCAGGAGAAGAGCTTGAGTGTGTTGTCCACAAGAATACTCTACTTTTTCTAATTGGTCTACTTGACAATTGGTGTTGCTGTTGATACAGTATTTCATTGGAATTCTTATTGGGAGAAGAATGTGGGATTTTAGAAATGAAAATTCGTCCTGTAGCAACTTCTTGAGATGCTTAAATATATAGAGAGAGTTGGATAACAAGGACATACATTTTTATATCCATCTTAGCTGTGCCCATAGTATCACAGGTGTGTTGAGTAAGCAGAATTTAATCCCGTTTGATGTTGTGCTGCCTTTGCATAAAGGTGACTGCAGTAGCACTCAAATTTTTTTGCACAATAATTTTGCCATAATATACTAGAGCCAAGAGGATAGTTAAAGTCTGCAAAATGCCATTTTTCCTTTTCCCCATCTGTGAGATTCTTGCTTTGTTATGGTGCTCACGATAAATTATGTGGACCATGGAGACAACTTGCAGCCATTTATGTGATTGTGGCAGTATCTTCATGTCAGTATCTGCATAACAGTTATATTACTGTTGGCAGGTTTAGATTGTGGTAGCTAATTCTGTGTTTTACCATTCCATTAATAGGTTTATAAATGACAGTATAGTTTGCTTTGTAGATTTATATGCTCATGTGCTGTTTTCTTTTCTTAAAAGGTGACGGGTGGCTCCAGTGGCATTGGAAAAAGCATCGCTATTGAATGCTTCAAACAAGGCGCTTTTATAACAATAATTGCAAGAAATGAGGTAAATTTCTAGCATGTTTCTCAACTATGAAGCCATTAATTGTTAATGAGAAATGCAGAATAATAATTATAGCTAAGGCGATACTGCTTAGGTAGTGAAATTCTTTAGTTTCAGTCCATTGGATATGCACCTCTTTTTTCCCCAGAATAAAGAAGTTCATATTTTGGCAGTATCTTTGCGTCTATAAATATTTTTCTTTGCTTTAAGAGATGTTTCACCCACTGAGAGCAAAAACATTCATTTCCTTGCTTACCAATGATATTACCTATTGTGCCAAGGTAGAAATTAACACCACCACTTCTAGGTATCTGGTTGACTCATCAAATTCCCTTGCTAGCTGGCAGAATGCCTCCCTCCAATGGGTTCTGCCCTCCCTACTCATACATCCTAGGCAGGGCGGTTGAGAATACTGACCCCAAGAGAGACCTGAAGGAGACAACCAGAAATTGAGCCTTCTTGGCAGTTGCACCACACATTTGGAATCAATTCCTGCCCAATAGTCACTTCCTGCTTCACTGGTTACCTTTAAGAGATTGTTGAAAACTTGGTTATTCAGACACACCTTCCAGAATATTCCAACAACAGAATGCAGAGTAATTACCAACTCCTCTAAGTTAGTGATTCTGCCATCTTGATGTTACGACTTTTGTACTGTATTTCTAAGTTTATAATGTTTCTAATTCATAATGTTTAGTACCTGTTTTTTCTTTTACGTTATTTTGATGTCAATTTTATTTTAATTTAATATTGTTGGTAGAGATGGGTACAACTTAAGTCATCCAACTTAATATGAAGTGTCTTGTGTGGCACCACAGGTACCATGGCCAGCTGGCCAATTCACTTATCACACGCTGCCGTAGTCTTCCTCCTCCAGCAGTTGTCCAGTCTGAGCAGGAGCTCCAGCTGCTCTGCCCCACCTCCTCCGGCAGCTGACCATTGAACAGCTATGCAGGGGGAAGCCCCGTCCTGCCTTGGAGTGGTTGGCTGCCAGAGGAGGTGGGGCAGGGTAGCCTGAGATGCTGCCTGGACTGGGCGGCTGCTGGAGAAGGAAGAACCCAGTGGTATGTGATAGCATGTGAGTGGGCCAGCTGGCTGGGGATGGAGCGAGCAAATGCAGGGACAATTCATATGTAGAATTGTTGATAAAAATCTCTTTGTTGGTTATTGTTCTTATTTTTCGTTGTATGTAAACTGTTCTGAGTGGCTTTGGTAGCCAGATGGGTGGTATATCTATCACTCACTCAATCAATCAGTGTTTTTTTAATATAACACAGTGCCTGAAATGGAAATTTGGTCAGATTCCCTATAGGAAAATGCATGTACTGTTTTTTGTTCGAGTGTCTCTATATGTGCTTTGTTTGTTTAGTTGTTAAGTCGTGTCCGACTCTTTGTGACCCACACTTTCCTTTTTTAGTGTGACACACTTGCATACCTGTTTTTATGTTTTCATACATTCAAGGCCATCTTCAATCTGCACTGTGAATTCTTTATAATAGTGCAAAATACAGATTGTCAACCCATGAGGGGAAATGAGCTAAAGCTTCAGGACAAGACTGGTATTTCAGCTTTGCCATCAGCTTAAAGTTAGGACAGGTAGCAATTCCCTTATAGGCAAATCATCTTCTAAACCAGTGGTTTCCAGCTTTGGGTCCACAGACATTTTTGGACTAAAACTCCCACAAGCCTTCACCACTAGCTGTCCTGGTCAGGATTGCTGAGTTATAGACCAAGAACATCTCGGGACCCAAAGTTGGAAACAATGTTCATCTAAACCCTCCACTCAAACTACACATAGAAATACTGTTGCTTAATGTAATAAATTGCAGTAGAATAAGCCCACTGAATCTGTGGGATTTGATTAATCAAATCCTCTGTAAGTTCCATTGATTTAAATGGGCCTATTCTAGTTGCAACTTTAGTAGGGCCATTTGAATCAATGGAATTTATAGAGGAGTTGACTTGCCAAATCCCCAGTAATTCAGTGGATCTACTGTAGTGTGACTTACTATGTTAAGCTATAGGATTTCAGCCATTGATTCTTGTGGGTAAGTAAATGGAGATATTTTAATAACTGAAATTTGGATTGAGATTTTGTATTTGGGAATTGCTGATATATTTTATTTGAGAATTAATATTCCATCTTTTCTATCCAATCAAATTTGAAAAAACTTACAACTGTATCTAAATCGGTAAAAGAAAACAAGAAACAAATATTAGTAGAAATGTAAAATAAAGCATCATTTTTCTATAGAATAGAAATGCCCACCAGAAGGAATTTTGAGCATTTTGTTTGCAAGGCTGTATGTGTGGTGTTACATTTGTTTATGGAACCATTCCCTTGAGTAGAAATGGACAGATTTCCAATTAACACTAGGCGATAGGGGACAGGTGCTGTAAACAGTTGACTGCAACACATATGTTCTGTTTAATGGTCTTATTTGCCTACTTCCTGCATATCTACTTTTAGGGACCTTGATTTTGTTTTTTATTTTATTTTTATTTTTTTGGTGCACAAGACCTCTGATTATATTGCGGTATCATCTGTTGGTGATCTCAAAAAGTGGTAGACTTAGAAAGAAGGCTGCAGTCCTATTTAGACTTACTTAAAAGTCAGCCACACTGAACACAATCATTCACACTATGAATAAACATGTGGTTTATAAGGCGTTTGAAGCCAATTTATTTTATATGTATAGACTTGGTAGGATAAAGTGTTCAATGTCTACAAGTCATGATGACTATGTATTACCTCCAGCATCAGACAACCTATTGTCTTGCAGTACCGATTGCTGAGGAACACAAGTGGGAGGGAGCTTTTTTTAGTCAGGTGTTGTGTCTAGGCTTCCCTTAGGCATCACGTTGGCCATTGTGGGAATTGAATTCTGGGCTGCATAGGCCTTTGGTTTGGTTCCGGAACAGCTATTTTATGCTGTTATATTGATAACCAGAGAGTCCCCTGGACTGCAAGGGAAACAAACCTATCCATTCTAAAGGAAATCAAGCCTGAGTGCTCACTGGAAGGACAGATCCTGAAGCTGAGGCTGCAATACTTTGGCCATCTCATGAGAAGAGAAAACTCCCTGGAAAAGACCCTGATGTTAGGAAAGTGTGAAGGAAAGAGGAGAAGGGGACAACAGAGGATGAGATGGTTGGACGGTGTCATGGAAGCTACCAATATGAATTTGACCCAACTCCGGGAGGCAGTGGAAGACAGGAGGGCCTGGCGTGCTCTGGTCCATGGGGTCATGAAGAGTCGGACATGACTAAACGACTAAACAACAACAAAATTGATAACTTAATGGGATGGTTGTACCTTGAGTTATAAAGCACCTGGATGTTAGGTAATATTTGATTAAGTTTAATTTTTAAAATTATTTCAGATCATTTAGCAGAAAGTCTCAAATTGTGCTTGCTCAATTCTAGAACCGGCTGATGAAGGCCAAGCAAGAAATTGAAAAGTTCTCTGTTAATGATAAACAGGTAAGATTACTCTACCAGTTTTGTTTCTTTTTGTAACAAATGACATATGTCTTTCAAAAGCAAGCAAATACGAGTAGATAAATAGGTACTGCCACGGTGGGAAGGTAACGGCGTTCCGTGTCTAGTCGTGCTGGTCACGTGATTACGGAAACTGTTTACGGACAAACGCTGGCTCTACGGCTTGGAGACGGGATGAGCACCATGCCCTAGAGTCGGACAAGACTAAACTAAATGTCAAGGGGAACCTTTACCTTTACCTAAAGTGGACATGGAGAGGCTGGAGAAAATAGGCAAAAGGAGATGGTAATCAGTGTTGAGAGTAAGAACTTACCAAGCAATTCTGAATGTGAGTGGAAAGGTGATACTAGAAGAACTTAGTGCAATTCAGTACATACAACAACAAATGTCTTCCTCTGGATGCCAATACTTTCCTCTTTGTTTTACCTACCCACCATTCTCAAACTTTCACATTTTCAATGCTTTCAAATGCATTTACCCACTTTTGTGCTATGATGCAAAATTGATAACATTAAATGCTTTTCCCATTCTCAAACCATAAGGTTTTCATTTCAAAGCTTTCTATTTTTAAAGTTTTTTTTAGTTTTCATTATTGTTCTATGATGGAAAAATAATTATATATATTTAAAAAGGTCAGAGTAGCTAAAGCTGTAGCCTCTCTTCCCTGCTTGTTTTTACCTGCTGACCATTCTCAAAGTTCATACTCTAATTTTTAAAAAAAGTTTTCACTTTAACACAATGGAATTGCTGACATCTCAAGAAAACTAAATAGGAGCAGCAGTCAAGTGTGAAGTAAGTAGACCAACCAGCAGAAACACACCCATAAGAAAACATCATCAAATGACACATACCTGTAAAGTGCATAGATGAGTGCACATCAGCATGGTACTGTAGGCCATATGAGTAGATCCTGCACTGAAGCAAATTAGAGCAAAAGAGAACAAAAATATGCCATTGTCTAACTGGTGTAAAAACAGTGGAGTTGGGATGTGACTCTGTTCACATTAATTCCAGTTTGATAGGTTGAGAAAAATAATAGCAAAAAAACGCATAATTGAGGTTTCCATCCCTCTTCCCACTTGGATAGAGAAGATACTTAGTTCCACAGTCATCCATTAGTAGGTACATAGAGTATCGATAGATATCTTCAGGCAATAGGCCTAATCTGGTAGATGGAAAGCTAGATTCTGGCCTGCCAGAAGCTCTAGACTTGCAAGTGGCAGCTGAGAGCTAGTTGTGACCCAAGTGCTACTTGTAAGCTTGCCTGAGGCGTTTTGCTTCCCCTGACCCTTTCCTATACTTTCTTGCTATATACATAGTGATACTAAAGTAAAGAAGTCTTCCAAGATTCTAAGCAAGGTGGATAAAAATCAATGATTTCTTAAATTTAAATAGTTAAAAAAACACATTTTTTTACATTTAGGTCAAATCCACCCAGAGTTTAAGATATAAAATAGTAACTCTGTATTCTTCTCTCAAGTAAAACTAAGGGCAGAAAGAGGTTGCAACAGACACAATAGAGCCGCGGTGCCCCAGTCTTTCCTGCAGTCATTTTATCTGCAACAGCTTAAGTGATAGTCACTAATCCAAAAATTAATGCGATGGTAACATCTTATCTTTTTCCCCTTCTGACATAGGTTGTGCACACTGTCTCTGTTGATGTCTCCAAAGACTGTACATATGTAGAGAAAGTCCTAAAACAAGTAAGGAAATGTATACACTTCCTTGTTTTGTATGTTATGGTCTTACTCCAGAAACATTCTGCTGAAAATACTGATATATTTTAGACCTCAGTTCTTCACTACATTTAATTAATGGCCCTTTTTTTTCAAGGCTCAAGAGAAGTTGGGTCCAGTTGACATGCTTGTAAACTGTGCTGGAACGTCAGTAAATGCAAAATTTGAAGAGCTTGACGCAGGTAGATTTGAGGTACGTAGTCCTAAATTTGTTTGTCTAAAAGTGTCTGGAAATATTTGTCCAACTTCATCTGACAAATTGCACTAGAATGAGAGAAGTGAGACATTTATTTCCAGTACAGTATATATAAAACCTACTTCAGAGGTGGTACATCTTGTGTCTCCTACAGTTACCTACTGTTATAAAATTATGTTAGGAAAATTCCCCCAAGACCCTCCTATTGGGGTGAAGCCGAGGCCCGAGAGTGGCGGAGGAGATTGAGAGAAGAGAAGGAAAGGGTAGAAAGAGAACGGAGAGAATGTTTGACATGGAAGATGACTGAGATCTGGAGGGTTGACTAACGGGAGGACCCTGGGTGACCTTCACACCGGCAGGAGATGTCGGGTGGACTGAACCCAGAGATGACGAGGCCATTCCCCTACTGGAAAGAGAGACACTGAAGCCAGATGCATCGGTAGATTGGGCGGGTCCGTGGAACACCACTGAGACTAACCCATTCCTGAATGAAGCTTGGAAACCCATGTTGGACCCATTGGTGGCAGGCAAGAAGTTACGGGACAATTTCATAGATACGGGTTTTCTGTTGAATACTCCAGTAAACCTTTCCCCTGTTTCAAAATTACGTAAATCTCCTGATTTATTTGAGAGAAAAAATGGAGACAAAAGACGAACCCTCACGAGCATAACACAAAAGACCACACCACCCAAAAAGCTACTTAAGTGGATGTACTGTAGCATGCTGATGGGCACTGCCCAGCTTTTTGCAATATGTAAACATTTGTAACATTAGGCAAGTTCCCATTTTTTATAGGAGATGTTGTGCTATATTGTGATGTCACTTAATATCCCCTGAGCTTTTAATGTGAAGTTGTAGCTTAATACCACACCTGTATAAATATATATATGAGTTATTGAGACATTTATAAACACATACAAAATTTGACACTGACTTGTATGTTTACCAACAGCAATTGATGGCTGTCAACTACCTGGGCAGTGTTTACCCAACTCGGGCAGTAATTACTACCATGAAGGAACGCCGATTGGGAAGGATTGTCTTTGTGTCATCCCAGGCTGGGCAAGTTGGATTGTTTGGTTATACAGCTTATTCTGCAACCAAGTTTGCTCTTCGAGGGTTAGCAGAAGCTTTGCAAATGGAGGTATGTTTACCTACTTCTTATCTGCATGTATCATGTTTTCATAGAATGGTCTTCATTCTGTGATATTTCTGTCGTGTAACTTCTTCAGTTTATAATAGCTAATTAGAAATTAGTGAATTACTTATCCTGAAAGAACTTATTTGAGTATCTTCTTATAGCATATATTGAGATCCTGCTAATTCCATGGATGAAATATGAGTTTCAGACATAGGCTTGCTTCAGGCTTATAGGATTTTTATTTCTTTTTTTAAAGCCTTGGGATCTAATTGTACAAAATAATAGCTGAGACACGTGAAAAAAAATGGGTAGTTAAGCACCTACTGCACTATATGAGGCATATAATGGGACTGGAAGCATTTATGATTATTCATGTACAACTGGTTGATTATTGGGAATTCTGATGACCAGACCTAATTGAGAAAGAAAAACACTTCAGCTGTTGCTGACCACTGAAACCATCCATCTTGGGAGTTAGAAATTCTTACTTAATTCCCGCAAACCATCCTCTGACCCCACTCCACCCTTCACCCATGCCAACTTTATCAAACCTAACAGCTTGTTTCCCAGCACTCGCCTATTTAATTGTAGCTTCTCTACTCCATGTGTTTAACGGCAATTTTTAATCTCAATCTATCAATATGACATTGGTACCTTTTAAAGGTTACTTCTGCTTTTAATGATATGACCATAGACATTGCCATTCTGTAGATGAAGTCAAGACATCATTGTTGAATTTATGACATGAGTTGTTTCTGCTGTGTTAATATAGGTTATAGGTTAATAAAATAGTGGTTACCTGTGTGATTTAACAATGTGGCATGATGCATAAAGTCAAACAAGAAGGTGTAAGCAACATTCTGCTCTGTTGTCATTCAGGAACCAAGCTGTTCTACTTATTGCAATAAGAAGTACTGTATTCCACAAGGAATTACTCTTATGGCACAAAAAGACTATGCATATGCCATATGTATTCTTATCCCAGTTGGTGGAAACATCTGTGAATCCTATTGGTGTTTGTGCAAGATTTGTATGACTTGCCATGGGTGGTTGTGGCTAAATGATAAAGTGCTGGGTGCACATCAGTTGTGTGTCTGCTCATGCCCTTAATTGATTCCCAGATACACCTCATAACATTGTCAGTTAGGCACAACTAGCCACTGGAAATTAAACAAACCTTACATGAACACCAATAAGGTTTATAGAATAAATTTAAAAAATAGTTGTAGCACCTTAAATACTAACCAGTTTATACTGGTGTGAACTTTCAATCTACCTACCCTGTTTCCCTGAAAATAAGACCTTTTTTAAAAAAAGAGATATTTATTTATTTCTAAAGAATGAAAAGACAATCGAACATTTTACAAATATTAAATACAAAACTATTCCCCACTTTTCTCCAAATCACATATATATACCTTTACCCATCACCTTTTTTAAAAAAATTGACCAACAATCTAAGTCTCTTTTCAAACCACATGTCTCCATTTTATCGGCATATTTTAATAATGGCTTCCAGTTTTCCATGAATTTGCTATGGCTTATTTCGCCTCTATGTACTCTAACTTTATCCGTCATTTTTTCCATCAACAATGTATGCCATATTTTACTTGTGAATGCTTGCAGTGAGAGATCTTGGGCTTTTTTCCAATTTTTAGCTATTTCAGATCTTGCGGTGCCTATGAGATTTGCAATTAATTCTTTATATTGTAGTTTCTCATTTCCCCCCGTGAATAATGAAAATAA